CGAGAGTACGGGCAGACACCGTGTTACGCAGTTGAGCGCATGGTGTCTCCTGTACGCAGGCATAGCCCGGTTCGGTACAGTCCAGCTCCACGTATCGGCCGGGCCAGATTGAGTGTTGAGCCGGATGTCATGAGGCCGGTCCCACGCAGCAGGTCACCAGTGCGTCTCCTCGGGCCGGCGTACATGGCACCAGCCTTACGCATGGTGTTCCCGGTTCGCCCACATAGGCCGGTGCGGGTTATTCCACCTCCCCGTACTGGTCGGGCGACGGGGAGCATCAACCCAGGTAAGGTTGGGCAGGCTCAGTGCTCAAGGGAGCCAGTACGCCTGCACGGGCCGGTATTTCCGGCGCCACCTCCTCGCTCCAGCCCAGTACCACCAGTACCTACACCACGCACCAGGTTTCCTGTGCGTCTTCAGAGCCCTGTGTCTCCTCCACGCACTGGCTCGATGGTGCGTGTCTCCAGCCCTTTACCACCAGTGCATACACCACGCACCAAGCCTCCTGTGTGTCCCCAGAGTCCTGTGCGTCCTGTTGTTGCTTCCCGCACTAGCCCTGAGATGCGTGTCCTCAGCCCGGTACCTCCTGTTCCGGCACCACGCACCAGGCCTACGATGCGCCTCAGACGGCCAGAGTCGGCCGTCTGCCCAACGGGGCCTGAACTGTCCGTCTGCCCAACGGCGCCTGAACTGCCCGTCTGCCCAACGCCGTCTGAACTGCCCGTCTGCCCAACGCCGTCTGAACTGTCCGTCTGCCCAACGCCGTCTGAACTGCCCGTCTGTACTGAGCCTGCCAAGCCGCCCGTCTGCCATGAGCCTTCAGAGCCGTCCGCCAGACCGGAGCCGCTAGAGCTCTCCGCCAGACAGGATCAGCCAGAGCCTTCCGCCAGACAGGATCAGCCAGAGCCTTCCGCCAGACAGGATCAGCCAGAGCCTTCCGCCAGACAGGATCAGCCAGAGCCTTCCGTCAGACCGGATCAGCCAGAGCCTTCCGCCAGACCGGATCAGCCAGAGCCTTCCGCCAGACAGGATCAGCCAGAGCCTTCGGCCAGACAGGATCAGCCAGATCCGTCAGCCTGCCATGAGCAGCCAGATTCGTCAGCCAGCCATGAGCAGCCAGATCCGTCGGCCAGCCATGAGCAGCCAGATCCGTCGGCCAGCCATGAGCAGCCAGATCCGTCGGCCAGCCATGAGCAGCCAGATCCTTCAGCCAGCCATGAGCCGTTCAGCCAGGATCCGCCAGAGCCGTCCAGCCAGGATCCGCCAGAGCCAGCCAGCCAGGATCCGCCATTGAGTCAGGTGCTGCCCCTTATCCTGGTGCTGCCCCTTAGTCCGGTACTGCCCCTTAGTCCGGTGCTGCCCCTTAGTCTGGTGCTGCCTCTTAGTCCGGTGCTGCCCCTTAAACCGGTGGGGGTCATTTGGAGGAACCTACGTAAGCGGGTAGTGACGATGGTGGGGTGGTGGTCTAGGCCGGAGCCAGAACCGCCACCGAGGAGGTATGCCCGCCCAGCCCTCCCCTGTTTGGGGGTTTTGAGGCGCGGTCGCAGTCCGCGCCTTTAGGGGGGGGGTACTGTCACACCCTGGTTCTGGGACTCATTATGTTGAGCCAGGGTGTGTGCAGTCTATGTGGTTTTGTTCTATGTTGGGTGTCAAAGTGTTGTATTTCTAGGTTTGGTCAATGACTCCCAATCGGAGGTAACGAGTGTCAGCTGTCGGCTCGTTATCTCTGATTGGGAGCCATATTTATTTCTGTATGTTTTCCTGTGGGGTTTGTGGGTTATTGTTCCGTGTTTCAGTCGTTGTACTGTGGACTTCACGAGTCGTCTTTTGTTTTGTATTTTACGTGCTTTACTCTAATTAAAGTCATGTTCGTTCAACGCGCTGCGCTTTGGTCTCCTTCACTCCTAGACGATCGTGACAGTGTAGATGTGGACCTCTGGCTGTGTGACTGGGGCTTGTCCAAATAGCTCCCTGACTATGTGTCCTAAGTAATGTTCCCTCTAAGCTGTGCGCAGTAGCCCGAGACTGCCTCGCAGCTCCCCCAGGACTGCCATGCAGAAGAAATATCAGCCCACAGAGAAGCACAAGATGGAACTTCACTCAACTTTCTAGCGCAGTGGTCACCAACCGGTTGATCACGATCAACTTGTCGATCTCCAAGGCATTCCTAGTTGATCGCCAAATTGTTTTGTAAAAAACCCAACGCTAAAGCCTTGTGTTACAATCTTTTCTTATTCGTCTTGGGCTGTTGACGGTAGGTGAACCCGATTCAGCTGCCCTGCATGCCGGGTTGGCGAACTGTTGCCATTTTGAACCATTTCATGTGTCTGAAGGTACAAACTCTGCCCTACCGGCGGGCCCGGAGAGCAAATCAAGTATACTATAGGCCTACTGTTGGCCAATCGGGTGGCTCAGTTTAGCATGCCTGCAGTAAAGTAGCAGGCATAAGAAAGCTACAGCAAAGTGGATACTGTGAGATTTCAAAATGTTTAAAATGACTAGAGAGACTGTCAACAAATACAGCAAAGAGCTGCTGTTTTTATGAGTGAGTTCATGTTTAAATTCTTACTCAGGACTGTCAACACTTTGTATTTAACACTTTTATAAGCCATATAAAATGCGCATTCTTCCAATTTCAACTCAGCGCTACAACGAGCACTGCAGCAGTAATGAATGAGTAGGAAAGTGTATCTATAGGCTTGCGTTGTTTTTATTAGTGGCTTGGTTCTTTTATGATATCGAGGAATATTTCACTTTCTCTGTTCAAAGGAGTAACAACATGAATTTGTGCATGAGGCAGAAATAATGCGACTCGAGTTTCACCATCATCTGGAAGACTGTGTCCCTTTTTGGTCAGTGTCAGTGGAGGAAAGGGAGAGCGGAGGGATGTTGAGAGGCGGACCCTCAGTCTGCTGCTCTCTCCCTCCGCTGAGACTGACCATCAGATGCAGGTAACATCATCCCAGTAAAAATAAAATAAAAGAATGTAAATGTATGCTCACTCAGCTGTGCCTCACAAGTAATACAAATAACCGATCTATTACCGGTGTGATCATATAGCCTACCTCAAATTTTCTAAAATGGCGCAAACAACAATGCATTGGCAGGGCAATTCAAGCAAAGCCAATATCCGGTGATAATGTATTGGGCCTATAGCTTACTGCTACAGTACTGTTTTTAATTAGTTAATGTTGCATAGGCTTAAGGTTTTTAAGTTATGTTTAAAAAAAATCTGAGCGGTAGATCTCGGCTTTCAGTTTGACTCAAAGTGATCTTGACTCAGAAAAGGTTGGTGACCACTGTTCTAGAGTTTTCCCTGTTAACACTATCAACGTTTCCCTTTACTGTGGCAATTTTGATCGAATCAACACGATATTAGAATGTAGGCCTACATTGAACACCACACATTGGCTGCTACTGTAGGCTGAATGATAGAACAGCTATTTCCATGTTAAAATGTTATGAGATGCATTTTCTCTGTTGTTTTTGATGGTAGGCCACTCTGGTAGGCCTACATTATGATCAAATAGCCACAGTAGCCTAGTTGGCCACTTTTCAAACTGTAACTTTAAGCGGGTACAGCCTCAGTGTTCACAGTAAACGCGCGCTGGAAGTTGCACAGAATTTTCAGAAAGTTTGAGCTCAGCAGACCTGAAATTTGCTCAGTGCCGAAAAACATTTGAGGGAACATTGGTCCTAAGGGAAATGTGGAGGGGTGTATGGATACAGAAGATCATGGTGGATGGACAGTTCCTTGCAGTCACTGGGAGAACACACTCCCACATACACAGACATTTGGAGGGCCCATGTGACCAGGTTGATGGGATTCAGGCAGGAGAACATAAAGGTGTATTTCAAGATGACATCATAGAAGAAAGTAAGGTTATCTGTAACTATTATATACAAGTGTTCGTTATTCTGACATTTTACATGTGCTTGATATCACAGCAATGTCCAGACCTCTTCAATAACCAGATGATATCCACTATGCATTCTGAAAAATAAAGAAGAGCTGAAAATAGCAACGGACAACGACTGTCTGGCAGGACATTTCATTTGAATTGTTTATTCAGAATGAAAGCAAACTACCGTGTTTTATTTCGTTTCATTTTCCCCAATGCAGTTGACATTTTTCTCATTATACATGTTAGATCCTGGTTTTCTTCATAAATAAGCAAGCTGCTATGTGTTGCACAATAATAAATATACACATTGCGTTTCCGATCTCTGCCATTGGTAGAATTGACCAAATTAATTCATGTTAACTTCAAAAGAGGGTGAACAATATTTACCCTCATTCATGTTTGCAAGGAAGTGTCCACGTTGAAATACTTTTGCGTCTGTCAGTTTTCCATTCAATATACAAGGTAGAGAGGCAGCATTTATTATTTTGTGTTGGCATATTTTGTCCTTTTTATGTCGCTGTCACAAAAAAAGAACTGCATTGGAAACCGTTTGCACTTAAACTAGCTTACAAATTAGGTTGAAATCATGCTACATTCAATCAAAATGTAGCTTTTTTTTTGGACCATTCTATAGTATCTTCTTGTTCTGGTCAGTTATGATTGGTGCCTCTGAGTTACAACATTAGAGGGGTGTATTCTTCACAGGCAATTTGTACCTCCAATTATGTATTGTATCATGGCTCAAAGGTCCTTGACATTTTATCAAAATAAATGGCTTTGAACTAGAATGTGACAATGCATTTATACTATTGGCTAAACAGTATGCAAAAATATAATATATTCAAGAAACCTGAAATTACTGGCTGCTCCTTAGAGGAGTCTGACATTGGTCTGCGTAGAAAACATCTGAAGAACAGAAATGGAGAGCCATGTGGCGGTCTTAACCAGACAGGGTCCCCAGAAAGTGACTCGACTTATGTCTGACATAGTTACATAGTCACTGATACAGCTTCTGGTCATTGTTTATGTTTCTGACCAAAAAGGCTGAAGTCTCAGGGTGTCTGTCCATCCTTGTCCTTCGACCCCCGGGCTGTGTCACCTCTCGTTGGTGATGATGACGGACGTGCCGATGTAATGAGGGATCTCCCTGTGGATCTCAGGGGAGGAGCTGGAGGCGGGGCTTTGGCTCTTGTAGTCGTAAGAACCAATTTCGTCGCCGCGGTAACCGTAGCTGTCCGTCAAGTGGCCGAGGGCAGCATATGGCGGGGCCTGGAAGGAGCTGTGTTTGGCCAAGACGTGGTGGAGGTTCAAAGACACGTACGGCGCCTGGGCCGGCAGGCCTACCCCGACTCCCATCCCAACTCCAACCCCCATCCCCATCCACATCCTCCTCTCCTCCTCCCCCGCCTCAGGCTCCAGCAGCTTGGGGCTCCCCTGCTCCCCATTGCTGTCTGTGTTCTCCAGGGGGCCGGTGGCACTGTGGCTGTAGGGGGATTCCATCATACACAGCCTCCTGCGCTGCTCCAGGACAACCTGCATGGGGAAGGGTTGGCCCAGGCCATGGAAGGACCGGGACTGCTCGCAGCTCACCTTCCCCAGCACAGAGCTACTCAACAGGGGACAGGACAACGGCTTCTCCCCTCCTACGCAACCACCACCCTCAGAGGCCTTGTGGAGGTAGTCTCGACTGAACGGCAGCTTGCTGTCCTCTTTAGTAGCCTGTGACAGTGAATGCAGGCGATCCTCTGTGGTCTTGTTCTGGCCAAGCGTGTGATGCTCATAGGGCTCTTCCTTAAACCTGCTGTTAGGGCGCGGGTTTGAGCAGCTGGAGAAGCCGTCATGGAGGGACTCGCTGGGGGGGTACCTCCTGCTCGTCGTGGGGCCTGCTGTGGAGAAATTAAACGCTACGGTGAGATTCAGACTAAAATGCTACGGTGAAACTGTGCTAAAACGCTATCTTGAGAATGATTAGGGTTTAGCAGTGACATCAGAGGAGCAGGGAAGTAAGCGATGCAGCAGACACTGCCTTTGCCCAATGCTACAGTCAGCAATGATTTTTCATGTTTTTTCATGAACGTTTCTGACCTGAGAACAAAGAGTGAAAAGGCTTAAAAGAGAGCACTTTAAAGTGACAGTTCACCTTTTTGAAGTTTTAATTCATATTCAACTTCCCTAGGGTGTTGTTGTTTCCTCCAAGCTGTTTCTAAATTCGTTAGATGGTTATTTAGCAACATCCAGAATGTCTGGGCTAGCATTATTTTGAAAATGTAGCAATGCTACTGGAAATGGATTGTATCAGTTAGCAGTGCATTCAAAAGCATGCAAAAAGAGCTCTGCGTTCCTCAGCGCTGATTTGGAAGCCCCATGCTTTTGAGCCAGAGCCATACCTGAATATGCAGCTGCGGTGGCTGTGGTGATGGCACACGATGCAGCGAACGGCCTCAGGGTGTGACCGGGGCTAGTACCATGGTGGGTTTTGGCGTTGGCACAGCTCCAACGCCCCTCTCCCCCTCGACCCTGCAGGGAGCTGAGCAGCTGCCGGGCAGCCAGGCCAGGGGAAGATGGGGAGGGAGAGGCGGAGGAAGAACCCTGGGTGTGTCGCAACCTCCTCTGGGAGTCCATGTGGGGTAGGTGTCCATAGGGGTAGGGGAAGGAGAGGCCATAGGGGGCGCTGCTACTACACATGACCTCTCCAGCCTCTGGGCCTCCAGAGGGGCCTGAGATCTGCCCCTGGCAGGGAGTCAGGGGGTAGGGGGGGCTCTCCTTCCAGCTCCCTCCCTGGGGGGAGCAGTCTAGCTTGTCTGGGTGGTAGGTGCTGTTGGGCTGGAGGTGGAGGCAATAGACAACAGGTTATGGTGGTGTTATACTTTTATATCATAGACAGGCAATGAAGACAGTGTTGTGTACAGCTCATTTGTCGAGCTTTGACGAAGAATCAAGTCCTACTTGTTATATTTTTGGGATAACAATGAAGGGGATATTTCATAAATTCTCAAAAGGAAAGTAAACAGTCGTTGCGTTGGGGAGTTTGCAGTGTCTCCTCTTTTTCCAAGCTGGCAAAAGCTATTCATCCTGATATCTTAGTACGTGTGAATGTACAGGTACAGTATGTAGGCTACTGTATGTGTACTACACTGCATATGAACTGTATTAGTAATCTAGTGTGAGGAACAGTAGTCTTTAGTACCTGAGGGTAGGGGGCTGTTTTGAGTTTGCTCTTGATCTTGACTGCTTTGGTTTTGAGTTGTTTGCGGGGGTCCTGAGAGGAGGCCAGGCCACTCTTAAAGGCTAAGCTGGGTTTGGCCGCTCGACTCTGCTCCTGAGACAGCTGCATGTCTTTATACTCCACGTCCCTGTGGAGAGACATATACATACAGCACAGAACAGCTTGGATTAGCATCGCGCACACACACACACGGACACGAATGATCTGTTTGGTGGTTTGTTGTAACCGAGTATTGGTGCTAAACCGTGTTATTGGAGGCTGGCATGCTAGTTGCCTATTGCGTCATAGGATTCGGTGCCCTGGACGGTTTTCACGGAAGAATACTGTACCAAGTTAGCTAGCTGAATAAACTAAGTTAGAGTCTATTCCTAGAAAACATTAAACCGATGTAGTTTATAACAATTATAATTTCTAAAGTGGAAGTTGAGAGAGTTATATTTGAGTATTTCAGTGAAACGTAAGTGAGGGAGGCCCCACTCTCTCGCTTTCCCAGATGTTTAGTTAATTTCATTCCGATCTCCTTTGCATTATTGTAGCCTTTTTCTGTAGCCTGTCAACTTTGTGTCTGTCTATCCCTGTTCTCTCCTCTCTGCACAGGCCATACAAACGCTTCACACCGCGTGGCTGCTGCCACTCTAATCTGGTGGTCCCTGCGCGCACGACCCACGTGGAGTTCCAGGTCTCCGGCAGCCTCTGGAACTGCCGTTCTGCGGCCAACAAGGCAGAGTTCATCTCAGCCTATGCTACCCTCCAGTCCCTCGACTTCTTGGCGCTGACGGAAACATGGATTACCACAGAAAACACTGCTACTCCTACTGCTCTTTCCTCGTCTGACCATGTGTTCTCGCATACCCCGAGAGCATTTTTGTTTTAAATTTTTCTATTTCACCTTTATTTAACCAGGTAAGCCAGTTGAGAACAAGTTCTCATTTACAACTGCGACCTGGCAAAGATAAAGCAAAGCAGTGCGATAAAAACAACAACACAGAGTTACATACAGTGGGGAGAACAAGTATTTGATACACTGCTGATTTTGCAGGTTTTCCTACTTACAAAGCATGTAGAGGTCTGTCATTTTTATCATAGGTACACTTCAACTGTGAGAGACAGAATCTAAAACAAAAATCCAGAAAATCACATTGTATGATTTTTAAGTAATTAATTTGCATTTTATTGCATGATATAAGTATTTGATACATCAGAAAAGCAGAACTTAATATTTGGTACAGAAACCTTTGTTTGCAATTACAGAGATCATACGTTTCCTGTAGGTCTTGACCAGGTTTGCACACACTGCAGCAGGGATTTTGGCCCACTCCTCCATACAGATCTTCTCCAGATCCTTCAGGTTTCGGGGCTGTCGCTGGGCAATACGGACTTTCAGTTCCCTCCAAAGATTTTCTATTGGGTTCAGGTCTGGAGACTGGCTAGGCCACACCAGGACCTTGAGATGCTTCTTATGGAACCACTCCTTAGTTGCCCTGGCTGTGTGTTTCGGGTCGTTGTCATGCTGGAAGACCCAGCCACGACCCATCTTCAATGCTCTTACTGAGGGAAGGAGGTTGTTGGCCAAGATCTCGCGATACATGGCCCCATCCATCCTCCCCTCAATACGGTGCAGTCGTCCTGTCCCCTTTGCAGAAAAGCATCCCCAAAGAATGATGTTTCCACCTCCATGCTTCACGGTTGGGATGGTGTTCTTGGGGTTGTACTCATCCTTCTTCTTCCTCCAAACAAGGCGAGTGGAGTTTAGACCAAAAAGCTCTATTTTTGTCTCATCAGACCACATGACCTTCTCCCATTCCTCCTCTGGATCATCCAGATGGTCATTGGCAAACTTCAGACGGGCCTGGACATGCGCTGGCTTGAGCAGGGGGACCTTGCGTGCGCTGCAGGATTTTAATCCATGACGGCGCAGTGTGTTACTAATGGTTTTCTTTGAGACTGTGGTCCCAGCTCTCTTCAGGTCATTGACCAGGTCCTGCCGTGTAGTTCTGGGCTGATCCCTCATCTTCCTCATGATCATTGATGCCCCACGAGGTGAGATCTTGCATGGAGCCCCAGACCGAGGGTGATTGACCGTCATCTTGAACGTCTTCCATTTTCTAATAATTGCGCCAACAGTTGTTGCCTTCTCACCAAGCTGCTTGCCTATTGTCCTGTAGCCCATGTCCTTACACAGCTCTCTGGTCTTGGCCATTGTGGAGAGGTTGGAGTCTGTTTGATTGAGTGTGTGGACAGGTGTCTTTTATACAGGTAACGAGTTCAAACAGGTGCAGTTAATACAGGTAATGAGTGGAGAACAGGAGGGCTTCTTAAAGAAAAACTAACAGGTCTGTGAGAGTCGGAATTCTTACTGGTTGGTAGGTGATCAAATACTTATGTCATGCAATAAAATGCAAATTATTTACTTAAAAATCATACAATGTGATTTTCTGGATTTTTGTTTTAGATTCCGTCTCTCACAGTTGAAGTGTACCTATGATAAAAATTACAGACCTCTACATGCTTTGTAAGTAGGAAATCCTGCAAAATCGGCAGTGTATCAAATACTTGTTCTCCCCACTGTATGGGGTAAAACAAAACATAAAGTCAAAAATACAACAGAAAATATATGTACAGTGTGTGCAAATGTAGCAAGTTATGGAGGTAAGGCAATAAACAGGCTATAGTGCAAAATAATTACAATTAGTATTAACACTGGAATGATAGATGTGCAAGAGATGATGTGCAAATAGAGATACTGGGGTGCAAATGAGCAAAATAAATAACAATATGGGAATGAGGTAGTTGGGTGGGCTAATTTCAGATGGGCTGTGTACAGGTGCAGTGATCGGTAAGGTGCTCTGACAACTGATGCTTAAAGTTAGTGAGGGAGATAAGAGTCTCCAGCTTCAGAGATTTTGCAATTCGTTCCAGTCATTGGCAGCAGAGAACTGGAAGGAATGGCGGCCAAAGGAGGTGTTGGCTTTGATGACCAGTGAGATATACCTGCTGGAGCGCATACTACGGGTGGGTGTTGCTATGGTGACCAATGAGCTAAGATAAGGCGGGGATTTGCCTAGCAGTGATTTTTAGATGGCCTGGAGCCAGTGGGTTTGGCGACGAATATGTAGTGAGGACCAGCCAAGAAGAGCGTACAGGTCACAGTGGTGGGTAGTATATGGGGCTTTGGTGACAAAACGGATGGCACTGTGATAGACTACATCCAATTTGCTGAGTAGAGTGTTGGAGGCTATTTTGTAAATGATATTGCCGAAGTCAAGGATCGGTAGGATAGTCCGTTTTACGAGGGCATGTTTGGCAGCATGAGTGAAGGAGGCTTTGTTGCGAAATAGGAAGCCGATTCTAGATTTAACTTTGGATTGGAGATTCTTAATGTGAGTCTGGAAGGAGAGTTTACAGTCTAACCAGACACCTAGGTATTTGTAGTTGTCCACATACTCTAGGTCAGACCCGTGGAGAGTAGTGACTCTAGTCGGGTGGGCGGGTGCCAGTAGCGTTCGATTGAAGAGCATGCATTTAGTTTTACGAGTGTTTAAGAGCAGTTGGAGGCTACCGAAGGAGTGTTGTATGGCATTGAAGCTCGTTTGGAGGTTTGTTAACACAGTGTCCAAAATGGTGTCGTCTGCGTAGAGGTGGATCTGAGAGTCACCAGCAGCAAGAGCGACATCATTGATATACACAGAGAAAAGAGTCGGCCCAAGAATTGAACCCTGTGGCACCCCCATAGAGACTGCCATAGGTCCAGACAACAGGCCCTCCGATTTGACACATTGAACTCTATCTGAGAAGTAGTTGGTGAACCAGGCAAGGCAGTCATTTGAGAAACCAAGGCTATTTAGTCTGCCAATAAGAATGCGGTGGTTGACAGAGTCAAAAGCCTTGGCCAGGTCGATGAAGACGGCTGCACAGTACTGTCTATTATCAATCGCGGTTATAGTATCGTTTAGGACCTTGAGCGTGGCTGAGGTGCACCCATGACCAGCTCGGAAACCGGATTGCATAGCGGAGAAGGTACGGTGGGATTCGCAATGGTCGGTGATCTGTTTGTTAACTTGGCTTTCAAAAACTTTCGAAGGGCAGGGCAGGATGGATATAGGTCTGTAACAGTTCTAGATCTAGAGTGTCACCCCCTTTGAAGAGGGGGATGACCGCGGCAGCTTTCCAATCTCTGGGGATCTCAGACGTTACGAAAGAGAGGTTGAAACAGGCTAGTAATAGGGGTTGCGACAATTTCGGCGGCTAGTTTAGAAAGAAAGGGTCCAGAATGTCCAGATGATTTGTAGGGGTCCAGATTTTGCAGCTCTTTCAGAACATCAGCTGTCTGAATTTGTGTGAAGGAGAATCGGGGGGGGGGGGGGGGGGGGGTGGGGGGGGGGGGGGTGGGTGGGGGGGGGTGGGGGGGGGGGTGGGGTCATGGGTTGTAGGTGGGGTATGTCCAGGTGGAAAGCATGGCCAGCCATAGCAAAATGCTTGTTGAAATTCTTGATTATTGTAGTTATCGGTGGTGATAGTGTTCCCCTCAGTGCAGTGGGCAGCTGGGAGGAGGTGCTCTTATTCTCCGTGGACTTTACAGTGTCCCAAAACTTTTTTGGAGTTAGTGCTACAGGATGCACATTTCTGTTTGAAAAAGTTAGCCTTTGCTTTCCTAACTGCTTGTGTATATTGGTTCCTGACTTCCCTGAAAAGTTGCATATCGCGGGGGCTATTTGATGCTAATGCAGTACGCCACAGGATGTTTTTGTGCTGGTCAGGACAGTCAAGTCTGAGGAGAACCAGGGGCTATATCTGTTCTTCGTTCTGTATTTTTTGAATGGGGCAAGTTTATTTAAGATTGAGAGGAAATTACTTTTAAAAGAACTACCAGGCATCCTCTACTGACGGAATGAGATCTATATCCATCCAGGATACCTGGGCCAGGTCAATTAGGAAGGCCTGCTCACTAAAGTGTTTTAGGGAGCGTTTGACAGTGATGAGGGGTGGTCGTTTGACCGCGGACCCGTTACGGACGCAGGCAATAAGGCAGTGATCGCTGAGATCCTGGTTGAAGACAGCGGAGGTGTATTTAGAGGGTAAGTTAGTCAGGATAATATTTTTGAGGGTACCCATGTTTACGGATTTAGGGTTGTACCTGGTAGGTTCGTTGATCATTTGTGTGAGATTGAGGGCATCTAGTTTGGATTGTAGGATGGCCGGGATGTTAAGCATATCCCAATTTAGGTCACCAAGCAGTATGAACTCTGAGGATAAATGGGGGGCAATCAATTCACATATGGTATCCAGGGCACAGCTGGGGGCTGAGGGGGGTCTGTAGCAAGCGGCAACAGTGAGAGACTTATTTCTGGAAAGGTGGATTTTTAGAAGTAGAAGCTCAAACTGTTTGGGCACAAACCTGGATAGTATGATAGAGCTCTGTAGGCTATCTCTACAGTAGATTGCAACTCCACCCCCTTTGGCAGTTCTATCTAAATGGAAAATGTTGTAGTTGGGGATGGAAATTTCAGAATTTTTGGTGGCCTTCCTAAGCCTGGATTCAGACACTGCTAGAACATCAGGGTTGGTGGAGTGTGCTAACGCAGTGAATAACTCAAACTTAGGAAGTAGACTTCTAATGTTAACGTGCAGAAAACCAAGGCTTTTACGGTTACAGAAGTCAACAAATGATAGCTCCTGGGGAGTAGGAGTGATACTGGGGGCTGCAGGGCCTGGGTTAGCCTCTACATCACCAGAGGAACAGAGGAGGACTAGAATAAGGATATGGCTAAAGGCTTTAAGAACTGGTCTTCTAGTGCGTTGGGTACAGAGAATAAAGGGGGCAGATTTCCAGGCGTTGTAGAAAAGATTCAGGACATTATGTACAGACAAGGATATGGAAGGATATGAGTACAGTGGAGGTAAACCTAAGCGTTGGGTAACAATGAAAGAGATAGCATCACTGGAGGCACCGATTGAGCCGGTCTCGGCGTATATGGGGGGTGGAACAAAGGAGCTCTCTGAGGCTGGTTGAGTGGGACTGGGGGCTCTACAGTGAAATAGTACAAAAAGAACTAACCCAAACAGCAATAGGCTAGGCATATTGACATGGGAGAGAGGCATAACGCAATCACAGGTGTTATTAGAGAGAGCTAAGACAACAACTGGTAATGGCGATAAAGTTTGGGCTGAGGCTAAACAGAATAAACAGGACAGGGTACCGTGTAAAGGAACAGTCCAGAAGGCATCAGCTGTGCAGCTGAGTGATCATAAGGTCCAGTGAACAGCAATATGTGAGTCAAAGAGCAGTTCAAATTGGTGCTTCAGCACAGCGAGCAGGAAGCACAGTTGTAGTTTGCGTGTGCTAGCGGGCCGGAGCTAGCAGATGGATCTTCGTGGTCGTCGCAACAGGAACCCTGTTGAAACCACAGACGATTACGTCGGCAGACCAGTCGTGATGGATCGGCAGGGCTCCGTGTCGACTGTACGAGGTCCCGTCCGGTTGACAGAGAGGTAGGTAGCCGGGAGATGTGCTTGACTCAAGGCTAGCTCAATGCTGATTAGCCAACAACAACGTTCATATGGTTGCAGCTAGCTAGTTGCGATTATCCAGTGTTTCAGTGATTCCGGCAGAAAATCCGATAGGTTCTGGGTCGAAAATTTGCTGTGCAGACAGTGCAAACTGGCCGATAATAGTCCAGACTAGAGCTGGCTGGTAGGTAGTGCAGGCCACGGACAATGGAGAAAAAGCCGCTAACGGTGGCTAATAGCAAGTAGCTAGTTAGCTGGTTAGCTGGCTACTCCCGTCCGGTAGACAGAGAGGTAGATAGCCGGGGCTAGCTCAAGGCTTAAGGCTAACTAGTGCTATGGGGGCAGTGGTGATTAGCCTACAGCAACATCTATTCGACATCCATTCGGTTGCGGCTAGCTAGATCCGGTGTTAAGGTCCAGTGATTCAGTTATTCCGGCAGAAAATCCGATGTTCTGGGTGAAAACCGCTAACGGTGACTAATAGCAAGTAGCTAGTTAGCTAGTTAGCTGGCTGGCTAGTTTCAACTGGAGATTCTAGATAAAGGTGAGTAAATAATAGAATCCGTTCCACATTGAGTGAGGCGGGTTGCAGGAAAGTATATTTAGTAGAAGGATGAAAAGTGTGATAGGGAAATATATACGTAAAATACACACAAAAAATACAAAAAACAGGCTATTTACATGGACACACAAGAGAACACGACCGCACTGCTACGCTATCTTGGACTGCCAGCATCTGGTCAGCGCGGCGGTGGCACAGGAATCCTCATCTCTCCCAAGTGGACATACTCTCTTTTTCCCCTGACCCATCTGTCTATCTCCTCATTTGAAATCCATGCTGTCACAGTCACTAGCCCATTCAAGCTTAACATCCTTGTCATTTATCGCCCTCCAGGTTCCCTTGGAGAGTTCATCAATGAGCTTGACGCCTTGATAAGTTCCTTTCCTGAGGATGGCTCACCCCTCACAGTTCTGGGTGACTTTAACCTCCCTACGTCTGCCTTTGACTCATTTCTCTCTGCCTCCTTCTTTCCACTCCTTTCCTCTTTTGACCTTACCCTCTCACCGTCCCCCACTACTCACAAGGCAGGCAATACGCTTGACCTCATCTTTACTAGATGCTGTTCTTCTACTAATCTCACTGCAACTCCCCTCCAAGTCTCCGACCACTACTTTGTATCCTTTTCTCTCTCGCTCTCCTCCAACACTACTCACTCTGCCCCTACTCAGATGGTAATGTGCCATCGCAATTTTCACTCTCTCTCTCCCGCTACTCTCTCCTCTTCCATCCTATCATCTCTTCCCTCTGCTAAATCCTTCTCCCTCCGATCTCCTGATTCTGCCTCCTCAACCCTCCTCTCCTCCCTTTCTGCATCTTTTGACTCTCTATGTCCCCTATCCTCCCGGCCGGCTCGGTGGCTTGACGACTCATTGCGAGCTCACAGAAGAGGGCTCCGGGCAGCCGAGCGGAAATGGAGGAAAACTAGACTCCCTGCGGACCTGTCATCTTTTCACTCCCTCCTCTCTACATTATCTTCCTCTGTTTCCGCTGCTAAAGCCACTTTCTACCACATCCGATCCTCATGTATTAAGTCAAATGACACCGCTGGTTCTGCTCACACTGCCCTACCCTATGCTTTGACTTCTTTCTCCCCTCTCTCTCCAGATGAAATCTTGCGACTTGTGACGGCCGGCCGCCCAACAACCTGCCCGCTTGACACTATCCCCTCCTCTCTTCTCCAGACCATTTCCAGAGACCTTCTCCCTTACCTCACCTCGCTCATCAACTCATCCTTGACCGCTGGCCATGTCCCTTCCGTCTTCAAGAGAGCGAGAGTTGCACCCCTCCTCAATAAACCTACACTCGATCCCTCCGATGTCAACAACTACAGACCAGTATCCCTTCTTTCTTTTCTCTCCAAAACTCTTGAGTGTGCCGTCTCTAGCCAACTCTCCTGCTATCTCTCACAGAATGACCTTCTTGATCCAAACCAGTCAGGTTTCAAGACTGGTCATTCAACTGAGACTGCTCTTCTCTGTGTCACGGAGGCTCTCCGCACTGCTAAAGCTAACTTTCTCTTCTCTGCTCTTATCCTTCTAGACCTATCCGCTGCCTTTGATACTGTGAACCATCAGATCCTCCTCTCCACCCTCTCCGAGTTGGGCATCTCCGGCGCTGCTCACTCTTGGATTGCGTCCTACCTGACAGGTCGCTCCTACCAGGTGGCGTGGCGAGAATCTGTCTCTGCACCACGTGCTCTCACCACTGGTGTCCCCCAGGGCTCAGTTCTAGGCCCTCTCCTATTCTCTCTATACACCAAGTCACTTGGCTCTGTCATATCCTCACATGGTCTCTCCTATCATTGCTACGCAGAAGACACACAATTAATTTTCTCCTTTCCCCCTTCTGATAACCAGGTGGCGAATCGCATCTCTGCATGTCTGGCAGACATATCAGTGTGGATGTCGGATCACCACCTCAAGCTGAACCTCGGCAAGACGGAGCTGCTCTTCCTCCCGGGGAAGGACTGCCCGCTCCATGATCTCGCCATCACGGTTGACAACTCCATTGTGTCCTCCTCCCAGAGTGCAAATAACCTTGGCGTGACCCTGGACAACACCCTGTCGTTCTCCGCTAACATCAAAGCGGTGACTCGATCCTGCAGGTTCTTGCTCTACAACATTTGCAGAGTACGACCCTACCTTACACAGAAAGCGGCACAGGTCCTAATCCAGGCACTTGTCATCTCCCGTCTGGATTACTGCAACTCACTGTTGGCTGGGCTCCCTGCCTGTGCCATTAAACCCCTACAACTCATCCAGAACGCTGCATCCCGTCTGGTGTTCAACCTTCCCAAGTTCTCTCATGTCACCCCGCTCCTCCGCACACTCCACTGGCTTCCAGTTGAAGCTTGCATCTACTACAAGACCATGGTGCTTGCCTATGGAGCTGTGAGGGGAACGGCACCTCCTTACCTTCAGGCTCTGATCAGACCCTATACCCAAACGAGGGCACTAAGTTCATCCACCTCTGGCCTGCTAGCTCCCCTACCTCTACGGAAGCACAGTTCCCGCTCAGCCCAGTCAAAGCTATTTGCTGCTCTGGAACCCCAATGGTGGAACAAGCTCCCCCAAGACGCCAGGACAGCGGAGTCACTGACCACCTTCCGGAGACACTTGAAACCCTACCTCTTTAAGGAATACCTGGAATAGTATAAAGTAATCCTTCTTCCCCCACCCCCCGTAAAAAAAAGTAAAAAAAAAAAAAAAAAAAAGTGGTTGTCCCACTGGCTATCATAAGTTGAATGCACCAATTTGTAAGTCGCTCTGGATAAGAGCGTCTGCTAAATGATGTAAATGTAAATGTAAAATATCCTCTACACGTCAGTCCTGCATTACGCTTGGCCAACACATACTTCATCCTCAGGAAAGAAGAGCGCTCCATTTCGTACTCTGTTACACACACAGACACACAGACAAACCGGGGGCACCACCTTACAAATTAGCCTGTGTTTCAAACCCAGACTTTTTGCCACAAAATGTCTAAGACTATTAAATGGAAATGTTTTAGGGAGAGATTCACCTGTCACAGCCCCACTCAGGTCAAAGGGGAAAGTGTTGACTCACGTGAGAACGTAGTTGACGCTGACGATGCAGTGGGGTCTGGAGGAGCGGCTGTTGTGGACGATGGTGGCGTAGCTCTGCACCCACACCCAGCCCCCGTGCTTGGACAACATACGGTAGTACTTAGTGGTGACCTGCCCTTTCACCAACACTGCAGGAGAGAGAGGGGGAGAGAGAGAGGAGGGAGGGGGAGAGAGAGAAATATGGGGGTGAGAGAGAGATCAAATCACAGACTGGACTGTGCCTGAATAAAATATTGAAAGACAGAAAGAGAAGTGCACATAGCTATAGAATACAAACAGAATGCTTGGGAGAGAGTGCCAGCAAAAGACTGAGTTCCTTTGACAGGCTTGACTCATGAATACTGTAGCATTTTTATTCTCCTCTTGAACCTGCATGCATATTCTGTGGGAAACTCCACAGCTGCCACTTATAGAAATCCTAACCCTCTCAAGGAGAGTGTGGGTTGTTTAGTAATAAGTGTCTCAATGTAACCACAGAGGGGGACTGACTCACAGAGGTGGTGAGCGAAGCGTAGATGGAATACATCACAGCCATGCACGTGGTGGTACAGCGTTTTCTCGATCAGGTCCTGGGGTTCGTATCCCGTCAACTCAGCCACCCTTGAACCCAGAGGTCAGGGGTCAAAAGTAAAACATGATGTTCAAATCCTTTGCTGTGTTTGTCTTTTATTTTCTATTCTCTGTTTTTTTCCTCCCTCCCTCCCTCCTTTCCTTCCATACCTGGAGTCCAGGAAGATGAGCTTGAGGTCCAGGCTGGCCCTGAACATGAACATGTTGCTATGGAGCTTGATCTCTGTGATACCACTGAGAGGCAGGGAGTGACCAACCGCCACCAGGCCCACGATCTGATAACACGTGTCATACAGCGCCATGTCCATCACGTACTGACGGATCTTCAAATAGCCACTGCAGTGGATCACCTGGGAAGCAGAGAGATGAGAGGGGCTTTACACAGTGATATGGAGATAGATACATGCATGTACATAGATATAGCTAGACAGAGAGGCTTTACACCTTGCCTTAACATGTGTCCTAAATGTGGTTTTGTGTCCAAATTTAGGTAGATCTGAGAGATAGATTGAGAAACAACATTGTTGGTAATGCAGAATTCTTCTCTCACTCACTCTGCAAAAGCAGGTTCAACCTTCAGGCTGCACCCCACTAAGTGCCCCTCTCCACCCCCTCTCCACCACCGCTCCCCTCCTCTCCCTTGAACAGCTACGTGCCTAGAAGCTTGCCTTTACTCCAACCCACCCCCCCCCCCCCCAAAAAAAAAAAGTGGTTATCCCACTGGCTATAAGGTGAATGCACCTATTTGTAAGTCGCCCTGGATAAGAGCGTCTGCTAAATGACGTAAATGTAAATGTAAATGTAAGCTAAAAGGTACTATTTCTCTTCATCACTTCCTGTTTACCTATGCCTCGCCCTGGCCATTCTATAGCACTCGCCCAGTTCACACTGATTATTTATTCTACTACTTAACAGAAACGTCTTGTTTAATGCCAATGTAAATTTACAGCAGATCTCCATTGCAATCTGCTAGGTGATTTATATTATATAGGGAGAGGGAAGAAGGAGGGAGTCAAGAATACAGCTGTTGCATCTAGAGATGAGGATGGTGGAGGAACGACTGTGGAGTGTTTTAGGAGAGACGTGGTTGTCGTAGGAGATTTGAGTGAGTCAAGTGGAAATGCTGCAGCTGCTGAGTCTCAGACAAACAATATGCAGTTACAAATAACCTGTTAACACTGTGATAACACTATAATAACCTGTTAACACTGTGATAACACTATAATAACCTGTTAACACTGTGATAACACTATAATAACCTGTTAACACTGTGATAACACTATAATAATGTTATAGACTCAATAGAACAAAACAAACAAATCTAGAAATATAATACATCTTTGTTTTGATATAATAATAATCTCTACAAAATTGATGCATTTCAACTGTAGGTGTTTAATTTGAAATAAGGAACACCTGGGATAGGATAAAGTAATCCTTCTAACCCCCCCTTACCCCACCCCACCCCCCCAAAAAAATAAATAATTGTAAAGTGGTTATCCCACTGGCTATAAGGTGAATGCACCAATTTGTAAGTCGCTCTGGATAAGAGCGTCTGCTAAATGACGTAAATGTAAATGTAAATGTAATTATCTACTTTCTATCTTATATTGTTATTCATGAAAGGTTTACTACTTCCAGAGACACAGATTATCATGGTATACAGTAACGAAGAAATGTGATTTCAAATATTGCATTTCATTATAGTAGTACGCAGGGGCGCAACTTTCATAGGGGACGGGGGGAGAAAAAATAAGAAACCTGCACACTGCTCTTGCTAGTATCACTGCTCTTTTATACGCTTTACGTATCAGCCTCAAGGCCTTCGTCAGAGCTTTTAACAGGGGGGACATGTCCCCCCCACATTCTGAAATTGCATTTTTCGTCCCCCCCAGTTTCATCTATGGAATGTGATACAAAACGAGGCAACAGTGTGCTTTAGGACCATGCGGACACCTCCTAGTGGTCGGATATGCTGTTTGGAGTGTTTATCCGACTGGATCAAAAAAATATATAAAAATATATATATTATGTCCCCCCCACTTCTAAAGCCAAAGTTGCACCCCTGGTAGTATGGCAGGTAGCCTAGTGGTTAAGAGCGTTGAGCCAGTAACCAAAAGGTTTCTGGTTTGAATCCCCGAGCCGACTAGGTAAAAAAATCTGTCGATGTGCCCTTGAGCAAGGCACTTAACCCTAATCGCTCCTGTAAGTCGCTCTGGATAAGAGCGTCTGCTAAATGACTAAAATGTAAACATGTACCTTATATCCTCCACACGTCAGTCCTGCATTACGCTTGGCCAACACACACTTCATCCTCAGGAAAAAAGAGCGCTCCATTTCGTACTCTGTTACACACACAGACAGAGAGGAGAGTGACCATAAGCACAGACACAATAAAAACACTTCACAACCACAGTCACACACACACCCTGGTTAAATAAAGCAGTGGATGTGGTTAGCACAAGTGTGTGTGTGTGTCTGCCCTTACAAAAGATCACGTGAAAAAACGTGGTTTTCGGACATGTGTGAATTTCACGACTCAGACACGTGTTTTGTTTCACATACATTTTTCACGTGAATACATCTGTTGAAAAATGTCACGTGGGAAAAAAAGACACGTGAATCAGACACATGGTTTTTGGACGCGTGTATGGTTTCACATGGATTTTTCACGACTCAGACACATGTGGTTTCCCAACATTTCATGTGATATTATAAAATTCACATGTGCTTTTGTAACTGGTGGGATTAGATCCCGGGCCTCCCACGAGGGAAGCTGAAGTCTTGACCATTCGACCAAGAGGGACAACACTTATTTTGAAGTCACAGGTGGGGCTACCTCATCAACCATACCCGACTCATATCCGCTACACTTTCACGTGCATTTTCTCATTTGAATGCAAAATAGGGATGTCAAACGATTAAAAAATGTGATCGACTTTATCACAGGATTTGCTGTGATTAATTGCGAATTCCTAATTTGCTCAAATTGAGTTGTAATTTAAGATTACTTTATACAGTGCATTGCAAAAGTATTCATCCCCCTTGGCGTTTTTCCTATTTTGTTGCATTACAACCTGTCATTTAAATGCATTTTTATTTGGATTTCATGTAATGGACATACACAAAATAGTTAAAATTGGTGAAGTGAAACGAAATAATAATTTGTTTCAAAAAATTATAAAAAAATTATAACGGAAAAGTGGTGCGTGCATATGTATTCACCCCCTTTGCTATGAAGCCCCTAAATAAGATTTGGTGCAACCTATTACCTTCAGAAGTCACATAATTAGTTAAATAAAGTCCACCTGTGTGCAATCTAAGTGTCACATGATCTCAGTATATATACACCTGTTCTGAAAGGCCCCAGAGTCTGCAACACCACTAAGCAAGGGGCACCACCAAGCAAGCGGCACCATGAAGACCAAGGAGCTCTCCAAACAGGTCAGGGACAAAGTTGTGGAGAAGCACAGATCAGGGTTGGGTTATAAAAAAATATCAGAATCTTTGAACATCCCACGGAGCACCATTAAATCCATTATTAAAAAATAGAAAGAATATGTCACCACAACAAACCTGCCAAGAGATGGCCGCCCACCAAAACTCACAGACCAGGCAAGGAGGGCATTAATCAGAGAGGCAACAAAGAGACCAAAGATAACCCTGAAGGATCTGCAAAGCTCCACAGCGGAGATTGGAGTATCTGTCCATAGGACCACTTTAAGCCGTACACTCCACAGAGCTGGGCTTTACAGAAGAGTGGCAGAAAAAAGCCATTGCTTAAAGAAAAAAATAAGCAAACACGTTTGGTGTTCGCCAAAAGGCATGCGGGAGACTCCCCAAACATATGGAAGAAGGTACTCTGGTCAGATGCAACTAAAATTGAGCTTTTTGGCCATCAAGGAAAACGCTATGTCTGGCGCAAAACCCAACACCTCTCATCACCCCGAGAACACCATCCCCACAGTGAAGCATGGTGGTGGCAACATCATGCTGTGGGGATGTTTTTCATCGGCAGAGACTGGAAAACTGGTCAGAATTGAAGGAAAGATGGATGGCGCTAAATACAGGGAAATTCTTGAGGGAAACCTGTTTCAGTCTTCCAGAGATTTGAGACTGGGACGGAGATTCACCTTCCAGCAGGACATTGACTCTAAGCATACTGCTAAAGCAACACTTGAGTGGTTTAAGGGGAAACATTTAAACGTCTTGGAATGGCCTAGTCAAAGCCCAGACCTCAATCCAATTGAGAATCTGTGGTATGACTTAAAGATTGCTGTACACCAGCGGAACCCATCCAACTTGAAGGAGCTGGAGCAGTTTTGCCTTGAAGAATGGGCAAAACTCCCAGTGGCTAGATGTGCCAAGCTTATAGAGACATACCCCAAGAAACTTACAGCTGTAATTGCTGCAAAAGGTGGCTCTACAAAGTATTGACTTTGGGGGGGTGAATAGTTATGCACGCTCAAGTTTTCTGTTTTTTTGTCTTATATCTTGTTTGTTTCACAATAAAAAATATTTTGCATCTTCAAAGTGGTAGGCATGTTGTGTAAATCAAATTATACAAACCCCCCAAAAATCAATTTTAATTCCAGGTTGTAAGGCAACAAAATAGGAAAAATGCCAAGGGGGGTGAATTATTTCGCAAGCCACTGTACAAAAAGCATTACATGAATATTTACATTTTGATTTAGTCCAAAGTAACAGTTAGCTAAATCTGGTAAATTGATAAACACACTTTCTTTAACCTCAAAGTGTCACGGTTTCGGCCGAGGCTGCCTCTCTCCCTTGTTCGGGCAGGCTTCGGCGTTCGTCGTCTCCGGAATTCTAGCTGCCACCGCTATATGTTTCATGTTCGTTTGCTTTTGTCTGTTTGTTTCCACACCTGTTTCTGTTTTGACGTAATTAGTGTCCTATAGGTTTCTCAGAACATACTGCCAGGACCGGCCGGAGGAGTGGTCAAGGTACGTTCCCTGGGCCGAGATGGCCCAGAATTCCCTACGCCATTCCTCCACTAACCTAACTCCATTTCAATGTGTGTTAGGTTACCAGCCGGTTCTGGCACCCTGGCAGCAGAGCCAGATCGAGGCTCCTGCGGTGGATGAGTGGGCGCGGCGCTCGGAGGAGACTTGGAACGCTGCACACGTCCACCTGCAGCGGGCCCTCCGACGTCAGAAGGCGAGCGCTGATCTCCACCGCAGTGAGGCACCGGTGAACGCACCTGGTGATCGAGTCTGGCTCTCTACCAGAAACCTGCCCCTCCGCCTGCCCTGTCGGAAACTGGGTCGGCGGTTTGTAGGGCCATTTAAAGTCCTGAGAAGGTTGAACGAGGTATGTTATAGATTACAGCTACCTGTGGAGTATAAGTGTATTAACCCCTCGTTCCATGTGTCCCTTCTCAGGCCGGTGGTAGCGGGCCCACTCCAAGAAGATGAGATCTTGGAGACTCCTCCGCCCCCGTTGGACATCGAGGGGGCACCGGCGTACTCCGTGAGATCCATCTTGGATTCGAGACGTCGGATGGGGGGTCTCCAGTATCTAGTGGAGTGGGAGGGGTACGGTCCGGAGGAGCGGTGCTGGGTGCCGAGGAGAGACGTGTTGGACCCGTCGCTCCTGACGGAGTTCCATCGGAGGCATCCGACGCGCCCTGCGCCGCGTCCTCCTGGTCGTCCCCGAGGCCGGAGTCGGCGCACGTCTGGAGCCGCGCGTCAAGGGGGGGGGTACTGTCACGGTTTCGGCCGAGGCTGCCTCTCTCCCTTGTTCGGGCAGGCTTCGGCGTTCGTCGTCTCCGGAATTCTAGCTGCCACCGCTATATGTTTCATGTTCGTTTGCTTTTGTCTGTTTGTTTCCACACCTGTTTCTGTTTTGACGTAATTAGTGTCCTATACGTTTCTCGTTGTGTTTGTCTAGTGTTGTGTGTGATTGTTTCCGTCAGTGTTGTGTTTTGCTCGGTTGAGCGTATTTCTCCACTGTACTGGAGCTTATTTGCACCTGTGTGTGCACCGTTACATTTTGTCGCACCTGTTAGTGCGCATTTACCTTTCGCCTTCGTGCGTGTTTTTGCTGTCGGGCTTAGTTGTCCTGTTGCCTGTGTTGGGCCAGTATTACAGCCTTTGGAACATTCAGTCTGCATCCTGCGTTTGATTCCTACACTACACCTACAACACGCCCTGACACAAAGTCAACTTTTGACATCACATTGTTTATTTTTAGCTTTATAGATTATGTATTTTAGATTTTGGGCGCTTTCAGACATTGCGATAAAACTAAATTGTCCAGTAAAATGACAAAGGTAACCTGAGTTAAGATTAACTCTGACAGCGCAAATTTCAACATAAGGAGACATTGAGCGCTAGCTTCTCTGTTCCTTTGACTGGGCTTCTTCCAACAGTCACTGACCAACAAACGAAGAAGAGAGGCTTGCGTCTGCATCAGTAACACTCCGAATCGATGGCTCAGAAATATTTATTTTTTACACACTTGAATTATTATTCTCAGGTAGGCTGTTTCCTTTTTCCAGAATGGCATTACAGATTTTTCAATTCCATATGTGGAAACATTGCTATTGCAACATGTTTCACATGTGAGGAGAATAACACTATTTCACCAACACCATGTGGAGTTTTCTTACATGTGAAACTGCAAATTAGATTTTCACGTGAACTTGCAATTCCACGTTTTTAACATGTGAAACCGCACATTTCACATCTGCAACTGCAATTCACGTGAGGTGAAAACATGTTTTTTCTTCTCACATGTGAAAAGGTGGTGTTTTTTCAAATTCTACAATAATTATATTTTGTTTGTTTTTACTCCTGAACTTCCTCCGATAATTTTCATGATGTCCATCTGGTTTGCTTCTACAGTGAGGGAAAAAAGTATTTGATCCCCTGCTGATTTTGTACGTTTGCCCACTGACAAAGACATGATCAGTCTATAATTTTAATGGCAGGTTTATTTGAACAGTGAGAGACAGAATAACAACAAAAAAATGCAGAAAAACGCATGTCAAAAATGTTATAAATTGATTTGCATTTTAATGAGGGAAATAAGTATTTGACCCCTCTGCAAAACATGCCTTAGTACTTGGTGGCAAAACCCTTGTTGGCAATCACAGAGGTCAGACGTTTCTTGTAGTTGGCCACCAGGTTTGCACACATCTCAGGAGGGATTTTGTTCCACTCCTCTTTGTAGATCTTCTCCAAGTCATTAAGGTTTCGAGGCTGATGTTTGGCAACTCGAACCTTCAGCTCCCTCCACAGATTTTCTATGGGATTAAGGTCTGGAGACTGGCTAGGCCACTCTATGACCTTAATGTGCTTCCTCTTGAGCCACTCCTTTGTTGCCTTGGCCGTGTGTTTTGGGTCATTGTCATGCTGGAATACCCATCCACAACCCATTTTCAATGCCCTGGCTGAGGGAAGGAGGTTCTCACCCAAGATTTGATGGTACATGGCCCCGTCCATCGTCCCTTTGATGCGGTGAAGTTGTCCTGTCCCCTTAGCAGAAAAACACCCCCAAAGCATATGTTTCCACCTCCATGTTTGACGGTGGGGATGGTGTTCTTGGGGTCATAGGCAGCATTCCTCCTCCTCCAAACACGGCGAGTTGAGTTGATACCAAAGAGCTTGATTTTGGTCTCATCTGACCACAACACTTTCACCCAGTTCTCCTCTGAATCATTCAGATGTTCATTGGCAAACTTCAGACGGCCCTCTATATGTGCTTTCTTGAGCAGGGGGACCTTGCGGGCGCTGCAGGATTTCAGTCCTTCACGGCGTAGTTTGTTACAAATTGTTTTCTTGGTGACTATGGTCCCAGCTGCCTTGAGATCATTGACAAGATCCTCCCATGTAGTTCTGGGCTGAATCCTCACCGTTCTCATGATCATTGCATCTCCACGAGGTGAGATCTTGCATGGAGCCCCAGGCCGATGGAGATTTACAGTTATTCTGTGTTTCTTCCATTTGCAAATAATGGCACCAACTGTTGTCACCTTCTCACCAAGCTGCTTGGCAATGGTCTTGTAGCCCATTCCAGCCTTGTGTAGGTCTACAATATTGTCCCTAACATCCTTGGAGAGCTCTTTGGTCTTGGCCATGGTGGAGAGTTTGGAATCTGATTGATTGATTGCTTCTGTGGACAGGTGTCTATTATACAGGTAACAAGCTGAGATTAGGAGCACTCCCTTTAAGAGTGTGCTCCTAATCTCAGCTCATTACCCGTATAAAAGACACCTGGGAGCCAGAAATCTTTCTGTTTTAGAGGGGGTTAAGTACTTATTTCCCTCATTAAAATGCAAATCAATTGATAACATTTTTGACATGCGTTTTTCTGGATTGTTTTGTTGTTATTCTGTCTCTCACTGTTCAAATAAACCTACCATTAAAATTATAGACTGATCATTTCTTTGTCAGTGGGCAAACGTACAAAATCAGCAGGGGATCAAATACTTTTTTCCCTCACTGTATATGCCATATTTTTCTAACTGTGCTCTTTCACAAAAGCTCTCAACCTATAACCTATATATTTATTATGGACACAGTATGCTTTACATTAGTTATCTTGTTGTTATTAGTTGTTGTTATTAGTCCCATCCTTCAGCTCCATTCAACACCTCCCATCTATCTCTTAACACCATCCATATTGGATTTCTATTTGCCATATATTTCTCAACTGTACTGTGATGTTTTACAAAAGTTCTGAACCTTTCTATTCTCATTGCTTCTACAGATCATAAATTGAAAATATTTTTTTTGGCTAAAAGTATTATTATATAATTGATCGATTGACTATGACTTTTCAGATCACCCAGTAGTGCTATCTGCAGAGTTAGCTCCAGGTAAATATTGCAATCCTTTAGCCATTCCTGGACCTGTGTCCAAAAACAAGCTACAAATGGACAGTACCAAAACAAATGATCTAATGATTCTATCTCTTCGCAGCAAAATCTGCAGAGCTGGGAAGATTGTATCCCCATATAAATAACATTCTATTGGTGGCAAGAATTTTATATAATAATTATTTGGTTGTAATTTTGGGTAGAGCAGACATTTCCATATGTTTTTGTTAGCTGCATGTACGACATAACTCCACCAGTCCTACCGATAATATCATTTACGAAGATTATACCTTTTTTAAACATTTTGTCAAAAAAAAAGGTTTTTTATCAGTTAGTATATTTGAGTTTAACCACAATATTTGTTGCATTATTTGTTCTGTCGTTTCTGGAGGATTACATTGAAATTGCAACCAACTTTCTATGGCTTGTTTTAGAAATAGTGATATTTGGGAGATTATTTGAAAAGGTGGTGTTAACATGTAATAAGCTCAACATGTGAAAGCGCTTTTTTCACATGTTGAGCTTATGTGAAACTGCAAATTTGACATGTTTTTTTTGTAAAGGTGTGTATGTGTGTGTGTGTCTGTGTATGCATGTGTATGTGTGTAGGGGTGTTATGAAACAGTACTCCACAGCAGGCTTAAGATGCTGCTCCTAGAGGAAGTTATTGAAAACCTGCCCAGCAGAGAGGCTGCCTGGGTGTTGCCTTGTATTATGTATCATGGTGCTATACATTGAAGTACTATGTGTTCTTATAGCAGCTGCATAGATTAAGTATTTGAGCTATTTGTATGATGATGTCACACTGACTGACTTCCGTCTTACAGAAGAGGTAGACCTCGATGAAGTAGCAATACTGTTGCTTACAAACATACAGAGTTGAGTATGAGGGAAAATCGTGATCAACTGACTGTTGGTTGAGAGAGAGAGGGAGGGAGAGAGAGAGGGAGAAATAAGTGAAAGAGTGAGAAAAGACGAGGGAGAGGAAGTGTGAGAGAGAACAAATAAAGACACAAATAGAGGGAGGAAAAAGGGAGGGAGAGAATGAACATAATAATTTACCTTGCAGGAAGTTATGGTGGAGGGGCTGATGGGCGCTGAGCACGGCCGTCATCTCATCATGGTCTGACGGGTGGATATACTCAAATATACTGTTACCCGTCAGCTCCACCTGACAGAAACAAATTAATCAGTCACTTCACATCAAGTTTCATCAGGCTGAAACTAGAGAAAATGACAAGTTACGTTATACTATAGAGACCAACATATCATTTCTTCAGTGACATGTAATCTCTAGCCTTTTGTGAAGAAGACAGTCTTTCTGAATGGTGTTTTGAGGTCTTTTGATCATTTAGCAGGATGATACTCTGTCATTACAAGGGATTACATCATCACAGAGAAATGCCTATTGTAGGGGGACACTGACTGTGTGTGTGTGTGCGTGCGTGAGCGTGCATGTGTGTGTGCCTGTGTTCATGTGTGTGTTAGAAGTGAGGAGGGGGTCAAATCTCTCGCTGCCCCTGAAATCGATCTCTCCATCCCTTTCAGCTCCGCCTCAAAGGGAGATGATGTCAAGAAACACAAGGGTTAATTTATGAAAGAACCAATAATTTGCATGAGAACACAGAACACCATCCAGGCTCCACTTTGATCTATTTTACCTCCCACATTTTGGGGCGGGGTCACTCAGTGAGCGGGTCACTGCTCACCACTTCAACAACAAATTGGTTTCTTCACAGTGTGGAGTCAGGCTGGACTAATCCATGCTTTGTAGTGAAAGAGCATTTGGACTGAGCATAGGTGACAGCTCTGCTTTTTGGTGTCGTAGAAACGGTGACAAGCAATAGTATGCGAGAGCAACAAGTGAAATATATGTTCAAGCACCAATGTAAGTTAATATATGTGGGTTACTGATACTAAACAGGCCTTTAGATTTTACACTGGAGGATGGGTCAACCTCAAAGTAAAAACAGAGGCATTCTCAACAGACTCAAGTAATGAGTGACTTTCACTGAATTCGCTGTTGTCTCTTTCACAGTTCATTTTAAAACAACACGGACCTTAGCCCACTATACCTCCACCTGACACACACACACACACACACACACACACACACACACACACACACACACACACACACACACACACACACACACACACACACACACGATATCAATAAAAGCGGATGGTCCATTTGTATGAGCTTCACAGTGTACACAGGTGTGCACAAGTAGCATTTGCATCAGGGCTGCGTGCAAGAGCGGCACATTTAGAGTGGGTGGTGGGGTTGTTTTTATAGGATTGAGTTAATGCTGTTGCTCAGCTCCCCTGTTCTCTCGAATGCTTCCTGAGCACAGCCTTCAGTGTGTCTGTCCAAGCTTGCTCAGGTGAGGTATATTCAAGACATTAGCATTTCTGTTTGCTATCCACAAAGCTCAGTACATAATCACTTTACATGAGGGCAGTGTTAGAATGACAGTGGTTACCTACTGTTGGTTCTGGCCACTTTCATAATCAGAGCGCCCCTATAAGTAGCTAAACAAAAATCTATGTGGACACGCCCATTATGAAAAACTGCTTCATTGAATAGTCACTTTGGTCTGGCTCACCATGTCTAGGGCATCCCAATAATCAATGTTATATTACAGCCTTTCTGTCGCTTGCATTGTATGTTTTGGAAAGTGAACCATATAAAACCACCATATGCTCGAAGTAGAGACCCAGAGTATACGCATCAGAGACAGGACTTCAAGGATAAACCTTTGTTTTGAGGGAGGCTGCTGCTGACTCAATTTCGCTTGATATTTTCAGACACCACGCGTGACTGAAAATATATGAGATGATTCAGTTTGAGTCCACGTGTGGAAGGAGGGTTAGATAGACAGCATCTCTCTCTGGGGGAACAGCAATACTGATGAAGTTGGCTTGTCAAGCAGCGAAGCCCACTCCTGAGTGATGATCACACTTCATTCTGATAATTGATGGCACCACAGAGTAGCGCCATAGGCTGTCCTACTGGAATATATAATCCAAACCAGCAACGATACACTGCTCCTCAGTCAAACTGCATGGGCCTCAGTTAAGGCAGGGTAAACAGAAAAAATATTTGATACACATACACACACACACACACACACACTCACACATACACTACCAATCCAAAATTTGGACATACCTACTCATTCAAGTGTTTTTCTTTATTTTTACTATTTTCTACATTGTAGAATAATAGTGAAGACATCAAAACTATGAAATAACACATATGGAATCATGTAGTAACCAATAAAGTGTTAAACAAATCAAAATATATTTTATATTTGAGATTCTTCAAATAGCCACCCTTTGCCTTGATGACAGCTTTGCACACTCTTGGCATTCTCTCAACCAGCTTTATGAGGTAGTCACCTGGAATGCATTTCAATTAACAGGTGTGCCTTCTTAAAAGTTAATTTGTGGAATTTATTTCCTTCTTAAGGCATTTGAGCCTATCAGTTGTGTTGTGACAAGATAGGGGGGGGTATACAGAAGATTACCCTATTTGGTAAAAGACCAAGTCCATATTATGACAAGAACAGCTCAAATAAGCAAAGAGAAAAGACAGTCCATTATTAATTTAAGACATGAAGGTCAGTCAATACGGAACATTTCAAGAACTCTGAAAGTTTCTTCAAGTGCAGTCACAACAACCATCAAGCACTATGATGAAACTGGCTCTCATGAGGACCGCCACAGGAATGGAAGACCCAGAGTTACCTCTGCTGCAGAGGATAAGTTCATTAGAGTTACCAGCCTCAGAAATTGTAGCCCAAATAAATGCTTCACATACTTCAAGTAACAGACACATCTCAACATCAACTGTTCAGAGGGGACTGTGTGAATCAGGCCTTCATGGTCGAATTGCTGCAAAGAAGCCACTACTAAAGGACACCAATAAGCAGAAGAGACCTGCTTGGGCCAAGAAACATAAGCAATGGACATTTGACCGGTGGAAATGTGTCCTTTGGTCGGGATCCAAATTTGAGATTTTTGGTTCCAACCGCCGTGGCTTTGTGATGATCTCCGCATGTGTAGTTCCCACCGTAAAGCATGGAGGAGGAGGTGTTATGGTGTGGGGGTGCTTTGCTGGTGACATTGTCTGTGTTTTATTTACAATTCAAGGCACACTTAACCAGCATGGCTACCACAGCATTCTGCAGCGATACACCATCCCATCTGGTTTGGGCTTAGTGGGACTATCACTTGTTTTTCAACAGGACAATGACCCAACACACCTCCAGGCTGTGTAAGGGCTATTTGACCAAGAAGGAGAGTGATGGAGTGCTGCATCAGATGACCTGGCCTCCACAATCCCCTGACCTCAACCCAATTGAGATGGTTTGGGATAAGTCGGACGGCAGATTGAAGGAAAAGCAGCCAACAAGTGCTCAGCATATGTGGAAACTCCTTTAAGACTGTTGTAAAAGCATTCCAGGTGAAGCTGGTTGAGAGAATGCCAAGAGTGTGCAAAGCTGTCATCAAGGCAAAGGGTGGCTATTTGAAGAATCTCAAATATAAAATATATTATGATTTGTTTAACACTTTGTTGATTACTACATGATTCCATATGTGTTATTTCATAGTTTTGATGTCTTCACTATTATTCTCCAATGTAGAAAATAGTAAAAATAAAGCAAAAACCCTTGAATGTGTAGGTGTGTCGAAACTTTTGACTGGTACTGTATACAGACATACAGAAACACACAATGTGCCACACATGAACACACACGCAAAACACAAAATCATCTTGGATGTCCAGCAAAGACGATGATGACATTGCTCCATTTAGAGAGGCTGCGGGGAGGACCATTCTAAAATAACATCTTCAACCTGGCTAGCTTAAGTTCCAAAAGCAAAACAGGCGTCAGTGCTATCTAACACCCCCCAGAGAGACAAGTCAGAAGCAATAGCTAGCTAAGCTAACCTTAAATATTAGCATGGGCTGAGCAACTGTTTTTGCTGTTTCATACACCAATGCTACACTCACAGCATGAATAGCTGGAGGTTTTCGCACGTCCTAATTCTTTTTATGAACAGCGCAAACAGACAGGAAGTCAACAACACCTAGAATAGACTCACTGATCATATTCTGTGACCACTCCATGCCCTCTCACTTATCTGTGCTAGGTGAACTTAGGCAACCTTTGCTTAGCATTCTGCAGCCTGTTTTACTGACTGTCAAATCAATGTTTAAACAGGCATATCAGGAGGCATGTGCCCCTTAGGTGACCTTGGTTGTGTTGAGGGAGGCAGACCCACAGCTTGTGGCATACGCAATGGCCACCCAGATCCAAGATGAAGGCAGAGCTACAGTTGAAGTCGGAGGTTTACATACACTTAGGTTGGAATCATTAAAACTTGTTTTTCAACCACTCCACATATTTCTTGTTAACAAACTATAGTTTTGGCAAGTCGGTTAGGACATCTACTTTGTGCATGACACAAGTAATTTTTCCAACAATTGTTTACAGACAGATTATTTCGCTTATAATTCACTGTATCACAATTCCAGTGAGTCAGAAGTTTACATACACTAAGTTGACTGTGCCTTTAAACTGCTTGGAAAATTCCAGAAAATGATGTCATGGCTTTAGAAGCTTCTGATAGGCTAATTTACATAATTTGAGTCAATTGGAGGTGTACCTGTGGATGTATTTCAAGGCCTACCTTCAAACTCAGTGCCTCTTTGCTTGATATCATGGGAAAATCAAAAGAAATCAGCCAAGACTTCAGAAAAAATGAATTGTAGACCTCCACAAGTCTGGTTCATCCTTGGGAGCAATTTCCAAACGCCTGAAGGTACCACGTTCATCTGTACAAACAATAGTACGCAAGTATAAATACCATGGGACCATGCAGCCGTCATACCGCTCAGGAAGGAGACGTGTTCTGTCTCCTAGAGATGAATGTACTTTGGTGCAAAAAGTGCAAATCAATCCCAGAACAACAGCAAAGGACCTTGTGAAGATGCTGGAGGAAACAGGTACAAAAGTTTCTATATCCACAGTAAAACGAGTCCTATATCGACATAACCTGAAAGGCCACTCAGCAAGGAAGAAGCCACTGCTCCAAAACCGCCATAAAAAAGCCAGACTACGGTTTGCAACTGCACATGGGGACAAAGATTGTACTTTTTGGAGAAATATCCTCTGGTCTGCAAAACAAGGAACACCATCCCAACCGTGAAGCACGGGGGTTTCAGCATCATGCTGTTGGGGTGCTTTGCTGCAGGAGGGACTGGTGCACTTCACAAAATAGATGGCATCATGAGGAAGGAAAATTATGTGTATATATTGAAGCAACATCTCAAGACATCAGTCAGGAAGTTAAAGCTTGGTCGCAAATGGGTCTTCCAAATGGACAATGACCCCAAGCATACTTCCAAAGTTGTGGCAAAATGGCTTAAGGACAACAAAGTCAAGGTATTGGAGTGGCCATCACAAAGCCCTGACCTCAATCCTATAGAATATGTGTGGTCAGAACTGAAAAGTGTGTGCGAGCAAGGAGGCCTACAAACCTGACTTAGTTAAACCAGCTCTGTCAGGAGGAATGTGCCAGAATTCACCCAATTTATTGTGGGAAGCTTGTGGAAGGCTACCCGAAACATTTGACCCAAGTTAAACAATTTAAAGGCAATGCTACCAAATACTAATTGAGTGTATGTAAACTTCTGACCCACTGGGAATGTGATGAAAGAAATAAAAGCTGAAATAAATCACTCTCTACTATTATTCTGACATTTCACATTCTTAAAATAAAGTGGTGATCCTAACTGACCTAAGACAGGGAATTTTTACTAAGATTAAATGTCAGGAATTGTGAAAAACTGAGTCTAAATGTATTTGGCTAAGTTGTATGTAAACTTCAGACTTCAACTGTATGTCTTACCTGGGATAGGCCGAGGTGGACTGATGCAGTCTCAGAGATGTACATGATTTTGCCATCAGAAGCGACAACGAATACAAAGCCGTCCAGAGTCTGGGGAATAAAACATATGTTAGACCCAAAAATACGCCATCCATTTTACATTAAATAATATGCATAGAAGGTCATTTAGAATTGTTGATATTAGACATTGCATTGTGATAGTTATAAATCAGCATATGGGAATCTGATTAATAATGGCTTTTATGTCTACTCTTTAGTAATGTCTTTTAAAAAAACACACTCATCCAAATTTCTATCACATCTGGCTCTAATCATGACATGAAACCATTACAAATTCTTGGCAAAGCCTACACATGAATTCCATAGCAAAAATATTTAAACAGTGCATTTTATCAAAATAATCAATTACATTTCATCTTGAGAACTTGACCATTTTCCTAAATGCATATAATAGTGTTACACACGTCTAAGCACCACTCTGCTCTAGTGTTCTATACTTACAATGCGCTATATATTTACCTTGAACTTGTGTAGTATTTACTATTAGATTTTTTTTCTATTTCTGTTTACTTACAGTGGGGGAAAAAAGTGTTTAGTCAGCCACCAATTGTGCAAGTTCTCCCACTTAAAAAGATGAGAGAGGCCTGTAATTTTCATCATAGGTACACGTCAACTATGACAGACAAAATGAGGGGAAAAAATCCTGAAAATCACAATGTAGGATTTTTTATGAATGTATTTGCAAATTATGGTGGAAAATAAGTATTTGGTCAATAACAAAAGTTTCTCAATACTTTGTTATATACCCTTTGTTGGCAATGACACAGGTCAAACGTTTTCTGTAAGTCTTCACAAGGTTTTCACACACTGTTGCTGGTATTTTGGCCCATTCCTCCATGCAGATCTCCTCTAGAGCAGTGATGTTTTGGGGCTGTCGCTGGGCAACACAGACTTTCAACTCCCTCCAAAGATTTTCTATGGGGTTGAGATCTGGAGACTGGCTAGGCCACTCCAGGACCTTGAAATGCTTCTTACGAAGCCACTCCTTCGTTGCCCGGGCGGTGTGTTTGGGATCATTGTCATGCTGAAAGACCCAGCCACGTTTCATCTTCAATGCTCTTGCTGATGGAAGGAGGTTTTCACTCAAAATCTCACGATACATGGCCCCATTCATTCTTTCCTGTATACGGATCAGTCGTCCTGGTCCCTTTGCAGAAAAACAGCCCCAAAGCATGATGTTTCCACCCCCATGCTTCACAGTAGTTGTGGACAGGTGTCTTTTATACTGATAACAAGTTCAAACAGGTGCCATTAATACAGGCAACGAGTGGAGGACAGAGGAGCCTCTTAAAGAAGAAGTTACAGGTCTGTGAGAGCCAGAAATCTTGCTTGTTTGTAGGTGACCAAATACTTATTTTCCATCATAATTTGCAAATAAATTCATAAAAAATCGTACAATGTGATTTTCTGGAGAAAAAAATCTCTATTTGTCTGTCATAGTTGACGTGTACCTATGATGAAAATTACAGGCCTCTCTCATCTTTTTAAGTGGGAGAACTTGCACAATTGGTGGCTGACTAAATACTTTTTTCCCCACTGTATGTGTTGTATATTGTCTAGTGCAATTAATGTCTTGCATATAATCTTATTGATAATATTGTGTTGTATTTACAGTATGTTGCATATACACTGAGTATACCAAACATTAGGAACACCTTCCTAATAGTGAGTTGCACCCCCTTTGCCCTCAGAACAGCCTCAATTCGTTGGGGCATGGACTCTACAAGGTGTCGAAAGCGTTCCACAGGGATGCTGGCCCATGTTGACTCCAATGCTTACCACAGTTGTGTCAAGTTGGCTGGATGTCCTTTGGGTGGTGGACCATTCTTGATACACACGGGAAACTGTTGAGCATGAAAAACCCAACGGCATTGCAGTTTTTGACACAAACCGGTGCGCCTGGCACCTACTACCATACCCCGTTCAAAAGGCACTTAATTATTTAGTCTTGCCCATTCATCCTCTGAATGGCACACATACACAATCCATGTCTCAAGGCTTAAAAATCCTTCTTTAACCTGTCTCCTTCCCTGCATCTACACTGACTGAAGTGGATTTAACAAATGACATCAATAAGGGATCATAGCTTTCACCTGGTTTCACCTGGTCAGTCTATGTCATAGAAAGAGCAGGTGTTGTTAATGTTTTGTACACTCAGTGTATATTATGCTGCATTTATTGTGTTACATACATGTAATTGTGTTGTGTATATTGTGTTTTACATCTGTGTTGACTATATCCCACCTGCAGTAGATGGGAGCCCAGTTCTTTAGCCATGTTGTCCAGAGGGCTGATTCTGGTCGGCTGGCCCCAGGCCTCCCCCAGCCCTGTGGAGGAAACACACAACAGGTTTAGAATACCTTACCTAGAGCTGCTTCCAGGAGAAGAGGACACTATGAAGGGGACACAATATATAGCCTTACATTGTTTTTCTTCCTGGTCTGGTCGGATACTGCAATTTCAATGGTAAGGGTTTATGTCTATGACTCACATAGCTCTGCCTATAGGCTGTGTCTGACTTGGATAATTATACTAATGCGATCAAAGCCTGCAACAGGCCATTCAGGCATCTTTGGCACTGCTACATTTAATGCAGAGACACACACTAAGCTGTTGACACAATGCCTTCTACACCAAAAGAAAAGATGGACCAGCCAGCCTTAAAGGGTACATCAACCACAACAGGTATCCCTTGAGATGCTGCTCATAATAGTTTGAGAAGTATTGAGCCTTGTAATGTATACAGTGCCTTCAGAAAATATTCATACCCCTTGACTTATTCCACATTTGTAAGTCGCTTTGGATAAAAGCGTCTGCTAAATGGCATATTATTATTATTATTATTATTATTATTATTATTACCAGTCCTGTAAGTCACTAAGAACAAGATATATTTTCCCTACAGTCACTCTCACTCGCTGTGATTTTATTTGGCTATTATATGCTTTGATCACAGACACTGGGACATGCAAATAACCTCTGTGTGTTTATACTCAACATGTATTTTGCAGATGAGGCCAGCAAATTGTGACTTGACAAAATCACCCAGAACATTTTTAGAACTGTCATCTGAAATTATACAACTTTAATTTGAAATGTACTATGATGTGTGATAACGTTGAATATTAGCATGCCAGGTTAGTCCATCATATACATTTGTAGCAGGGTGGAATCTGTCAAATGCTGTGAAATCAATGGCCAGTGACACTTATTTTATAGTCTGGGTTTTCTCAGAAAAACATGTGAGCACCCTTCATTTTCTCAATGTAAACTTATGCTTTGATTTGCTTTGAGTGCTTTGATTTGACTGAGAAAACTGAGAAAATATGACAAAATATAGCAATAGCGAAGTAGTTCAACTGACAACAAAAGTGACTATTGCACTATTTTTCAATAATGTTTTGGTCAAACATTCAGAGTTAACAGGTCACATTTTTTACTGTTATATTTTCATACTTTCACCATCAATTTCCATTTCCTGTGTCTTGATTAGCCGTCAGCTAAAGGATTAGGTGTTGTGCAGGACAGTCCTTTCCCGGATCTATAGGCCCAAATCACGATAAGTGGAAGCGACAGAGACGTTTCACCTGCACCCCCGCTAGGCCTAAATGGACAATTCTAATCTGAGGTAGGGCGGAAATGTCAGAAATGTGTTTGCTTATTATTATTATTATTATTTTCTTTAAGAACTACCTCAAACTAAAATACATTATTTGTGCAATTTGCACATTTTGCGCGTGGAATACACGAGATAAACATGCATAATTTGCATGAGGTGATAGGCCTCTTATATTTAACGAACCTTTGCGCATCATAAATATTGAAATCTGCCTCGGGACTAAGTTTCTGATTTCCCAGAATAGTTATTTGCAAAATACATTTACACATTTATTTGACAAATGTGAGGGAGAGTGGCCATTGAAATAGACTCGTTGGACGGCGGTCACATCTCTCTCAGTCCAAGGATGTCGGGAATTAAATTGAGACCCAGACAATAATCAATAGGTTACATCTGATTTTAGGATAATCAATATGTCAAAAGAGAACATAAAAACAAAAAATGTATGGCAGACTGTATTTTAGCCTAGGTCTACTTAGGCAAGGATACTGTCTACAACTAATTAGAAAGTTATATTTCGTTTGAAATAATGTAATTAAGGTGAAACAACCCTATCTAAATATAAATATATTTGCTATAACCAAAGCGCTAAACTAATATTTCACTTGTAAGTTCATACAATTTAACCCGCAGCCTATGGTCTGTACTTTTGAAATAGCCAGCAGAATGCATTTCTCGAGGCTATTTGCCTACTTCATCTATATAATTAATTAGCCCATATTCTGTTTTGTCACGGGTGTTAAGTTTTCTTATGTAGCCTATAGTGTTTTGTAATATTGTATACAGTTTATTTATTTATTTGATTCCACAAGATATCACACTATTAGTGAAATGGTCATAAACTAAGCTACTCAAATCTAGAACTAACGCGTGGCCCTTAGTCCGTGCCTTAAATGTTTCTGTGACTTTATGAGTGATGACAGACCAATTCTAGGAGAGGCAGAGGGCTGATTTCCTGGGGTTTAGCCTGTCGAAGTGTTCGTTTTATTGACCATAATTGGATGATTTATCATAAAATCTAGAGCCACTTGTTTAGGAGTGAAAACATAAATCAGGTGAACAAACTTGTAAAATAAGTAAATTTTTTAATTGCATGACCAGGTGGGAAAGGGAAAGTTGGTGACAATTATAATGACACTTTTACGCACGCATGGTCACTGTCACTACGCACCTGTATATTGATATTTATAATTTCTATAGCACTTATTCTACTGGAGAATAATTTTCGAAATAAAACTCACATTTTCCATGGAAACATTAACTTGGGGAAGTGAAAATGAAAATCTACATGACTTCGAAAATGTGATTATATTTTGGACATATGAGTGTCCTGCTGCGTTCAAAATTAACATTTATTTTGTTATTTTCTCTGCCCCGTTCTATTGTGTATTTGTTAAAACCATAATACAAAGACCAATATTATGTTTTGAGAGCTGACATGTTCCTCTTCTCCAGACGACATAATTATGATGAATCATTCAACTGATAGTGGTAGCATAACTCACCATCCGGAAACACGGCTCTCATCTTCAAGTAACTGGTTGTCAGCCGAATGATTGAAGCCTTATCCAGTTGTGATGTGATGGCCGAAGGTAAAGGCAGTAATTTCGCCAGTTCATAAAATTCTCCATTTTCTTTCTCTCGTCTCGTCTTCGCTGCATTCTTGGACTTTTCCTTCATCTCTGACTGATGTAAAGTAATGCCTGTTGCATAACAGAACACCTTCCTCTTCGGCCTCAAAACGTAGATTTTGCCTTTTTATCTTTGAATCAGAAAATGCACTTAGCAATTAGATAGAAGCATAACGATATTGTAGCATAATCATTCTCATTTCTTGAATGATCTAAATGTGAAAAATAGTTCCTCTCCTTGTAGATTCCAGATACGTGCATGTTCACTGAAAACTGTTACATATAATTCGTTGAATTCAATCTAAAAACCATTAGGCCTACATGAGGATACAATAATTTTTAGAAATGGTGGACTTGGTCTCCAAAACGTTGTTTTGCGACTCGTGTACGTCACACAATGAATGTGGAAAACAACGCTAAAGTTACCAGTGCCATGTAGTCATTTGAAAGGCTTTTTCTTAGATTACTTTTCATTCAAAAGAGTCAGTGAGGACACATCTTGGGTAGGCTCCCTTCAGTCTCCAAGTTGTGGCATGAGAAACATGTTGCTCTATTGAGCGATTAAACAACGGAGTACGTCAACTCTGACAAACATCCCACGGTTGAACGCCCCGTTTAGACAGGAATGACTCCCTTGAAGTATCAGAAAATGTCCGATGTTTAGGCACACCATCAACAGACGATTCGGTTAGATTCGCTTTACCTCATTGGTGTGAATGTGTAGGCCCCTAGACTTATTATTAATGAAAGCATGTGGATTAGGTCATTTAGGTCTACTATTAACGTTTGCAAAGAATTGGACGCGAAATTCTTCGTGCGTAATGGCAATATAGGCCTATCCAACTATTCCATTTGCCGAATAATTACAACCTCGATGCACACATACCCCAGACACATTTCAAGACTTCCATGATGTAGAGACTTTTTTTTACAAAATATCAATTTGAAGTTACCTGCGTCTGGACTGTTATTTTTCACACTTCATTACTGAGTGTGCTCTCTGCCATAACCATCAGAAATGTGTATTCGATGACGCACTGCAGTTAGGATGATTCGTGAATAAGGCCTATGTGTCCTTCCCATGAAATGTCCACCTTGTTTCATCGACTCAGGAAGACATCAACTGAGTTCTCAATTTCTTAATTTCAACGCCAGGATAAGGATACATCGGAACTACGTTACCAATGGAAAGCATGCGAAGTTGCCTCAGACAGTTGTAGGAACAATAACGCAATATTTTCCTCTTCAAGAAGTCTCGTTGTTCGGGTTCAATAATCCCAAAAGGCAGACTGATATTCCAAGCAGCATACGTTAATTCCTTTCGCAGAACCAAAGGCGGGCGAGGGGCGGTAAGTGGGAGAGAGAGGGCACGGTTCCAAACAGTTACGTCACTGAGTATCCGCAGCCTCCGTCAAAGCAAAAGTACAATAAATTGTCGAAAAACATTACCAAGTGCAGCGCAGGGCTGATTTGACAATAGACTGCATGCATGTCGATTGCATGCGTGTCTCTTCCAAATTAATCTGGTCACATCATGTAGGCTATTGTCCATTTCAATGTGTTGTAGCCTATAAAGTCAGTTCTGCAAGCCTTGTAGGAAAGCTTTTAGAATGATGAAACATTTTAGCCTTTATAGCCTCTTCGCCTATAGTAATTGAATTCCTTAATTTTCATATCCTACAAAATATATATTTTCAATTACAAATTCAAAAGAATAGCCTAAAGATGTCAAAGGCCTGGGACATAAAGCACTGACTGAACGATTCAATGTGGTAATTTGAATATGCGTTTATAGAATCCCCTCGTTATGTTTGCTTTCCATAATTTGTATTCCCAGAATTTGCATATTCAGTAGGCTATTCAAAACACACTTTGCCATATGATATGCTCGTTATACCGCTTATATTGCATGGCGAGACAGCATGCAAAGTCAAGCCAGTCTACACAGGCCAGAAGCAAGAAACCCACATTATCTACAGAGTAGGGTTCCCCAACAGGCGGCCCGCGGCTGATTTTATAATATAAAAGACTGTAAAATCACTAGGAAATTAGCTCAAAGTGATTTTACTTTAGGAAAACTTTTCCGAAGTATTCCCACGGAAAAATAGCCATATGTGATCGTATCCTAATGTAAAGTTTGAAATTATTCTGTTTTTGTCAAATACTATAGCCTATCTGTTTGGGATTCTTGCGGTCAATTTGCAGTGTACAAATTATTTATAACTATGTTCTTGCCCCCAGTGGTGTAAAGTACTTAAATAAAAATACTTTAAAGTACTACTTAAGTCGCTATTTAGGGTATCTGTCCTTTACTTTACTATATATTTTGGACAACTTATACTTCACTACATTCCTAGAGAAAATGATGTACTTTTTACTCCATACATTTTCCCATATACCCAAAAGTACTTGTAACATTTTGAATGCTTAGCAGGACAGGAAAATGGTCCAATTCACACACTTATCAAGAGAACATCCCTGGTCATCTTTACTGCCTCTGAACTGGCGGACTCACTAAACACAAATGCTTCGTTTGTAAATTATGTCTAAGTGTTGGAGTGAGCCCCTGGCTATGCATAAATGTAAAAAACAAAAATATTGTGCTGTCTGGTTTGCTTAATAGAATTTGAAATTATTTATACTTTTACTTTTGATACTTAAGTAGGCTATATTTTAGCAATTACATTTACTTTTGATACTTAAGTATATTTAAAACCAAATAGTCTACTTTTAGACTTTTACCCAAGTAGTATTTTACTGGGTGACTTTCACTTTTACTTGAGTCATTTTCTATTAAGGTATCTTTACTTTTACTCAAGTATGACTTTTTCCACCACTGCTGGCCCCCGACCATCCGCTCAAGTAAAAATGGAGGCTATAGATCTAGGTCCATCATTAATTTTCTATTTTGTTGTTAGCCTGTAATTTCTGTTTTGCAGGCCTACTGTTTATATTCCTATTGTGTAGGCCTACTTATAACAGTGTAGCCTAATTAAACATGTACTTAACTTTGTAATGTACTAAAACATGATTCAGATAAAAATCATACTAGCATTTCCCCACTCTCTTTTTTGTGTATTTTGGAGAAATATTCCTTTTAAAATAAACTTGAAAATACTGATACAACTAATTTGCCACTAGATCTTTTCTCATTAGGATATATATTCCGGATCCATAGGCTTATAGTTTTGTGAACTAAGAAAGTGCTTATATGCTCAATATTTAATCAATACATTATTTAGATATCTTTACAAATGGTATTGGCCTAATAGTTTTAGTTTATATATATTTTAATTATAAGTTCATGTTTACTGTTGCCAAAATAATTCACATAGGCCTACCACTATTTGTGCAATTAATTATCCAATAACAATCTATTGTTGCCTACAATAGTTAGGCTATTTGTTTGAATTTATATCTCAAAATAGACTTCAGACATTTTAAGTCTATTTAGCCTATGTAAAGATATGAAATGCAAAATATTGATGAAAAACGAAAATTGTCTTGAATCTGTTCAATAAATCAAAATGTTAGTGTTTTAAACAGATTGAGAAGTTCCAAACTTTAATGGCCATCTCACACTAGGTAAAAACTGGTTGAATCAAAGTTGTTTCCACGTCATTTCAACCCCCAAAATCAATGTGATTACGTTGAATCAACGTGGAAAACTGGTTGGATTTGCAAAAAATAATAAACATAAGGGCATTACTACTTTTTTTCACCCAACTTTTAACATAATCCAATGACATGGTGAATTTCTTTGTTGATTTCACGTTGAATTAACGTTAGTTGACAAATCAACCAAATGTAAATCCAAACTAGACATTGAACTGATGTCTGTGCCCAGTGAGATGTTGCCAGTATAATTTGAGAATGTCTGAAAGTAAACACACCAAGATGATGTTTAAGGATCATCACATAATTCTAAAGCATGCAAGTTCTATTGATGTCTGTATATGGCGAAATGCTCTAGCTTGATATCAAATAGAACATGCATTTGGCTAACTTGCAGCTATGCCCATAAAATCAGCCCAAAAGTTTGACAAAAAGTTCCTTGGCAAAAGCTACTGCAGCCAGGTAAGGTTATGAAAATTAAGGAAGAAATGAAAGTAACTGTGGTAAGCTAATATAAAATACCTCAACATTAATTTATTTAAAAGATCTGTGCGTCCATTCAGCAAACAAATAATCTTTCAAACTGAATTTAGATTTAAGAGCAATTTAGTCTGAGCAATGTTCTTATTTGCCCAATTATGACTACTCTAGCAATTAAGTCAATTTTACACATCTACTGTTTACCTGTGTAGCATTTCAATGTAATTAACAATTAGAGACCTATCCGTGACTTGACACAAAATGGACCCAGTCAGCATACACTCATGGTCTGTTTCAAGAGCAGAAAAAATATTTGACACCACCCTTCCAATGTGCCAGCTTCAACAAAAATGCTGAATATGGTTTTCATACCTGGCACACTACTGTAGCGCTCACAGGAAATAGCTGAGTGTGAACTGGAAGCAGTTCTGTTGCAAGGACTGTATATGACTGTGTGTGTGTGTGTGTGTGTGTGTGTGTGTGTGTGTGTGTGTGTGTGTGTGTGTGTGTGTGCGTGCGTGCGTGCATGTGTTTAGTTTAGTTTATAAGGATCCCCCTTAGCTACTGCACATGCAGCAGCTACTCTTCCTGGGGTCCACATGTGGACATCCATGTGTGTGTATATGTGGATGGACATTCCCTTGAGGTCTTGGTTACAGATAGATCGATTGGGTACCCATGGTCTCTGTTCTCTCAAACTGACAGGAGCAAGGTTCAAACATTAATGTGCAATGAACTAACCTTCAGGGAAACTCAAAACACAAAATGAAAGATAAAATAATACTTTGCTGTAATATTTGCTGTAGGCCAGTCCTGTGTCATCCTTGACTATTTTCCCATGTAAACGACCAAATACAAGGCTTACCACCATTACAGGTCCAATGCACATAGAAGAGTCCTCAACACCTCTCATCTTTTCACTAACCTAACATTTAGCTCGGTTAACACATTATT